ATGTCGCCTGTCGCTGTCGCCGCGTCACGTGTCGCTGGGGGGACCGCGCGGCCGCTCCGGCCGCCGGCGACACTTAGCGGGGCCCAGGCGTCCGGGGCGGCTTTTGGCGCCTCCCCCGACTTGGGAGGGACGGGGAGGGGACAGCGAGTGACACCACCCAAAATGGGGTGCCCCCCCAAAACCCGGACACCCCAAACTGGTGCCACCCCCAACAGGGCGCCCCAAAACTGGTGCCACCCCCATAGGGCACCCAAAATCTGGTCCCCCCCCCTCCCCGTCCTGGCTGGTACCCCGGGGGGGGGGTCTGCTGGCACCGAGTTTTGGGTTCGGTTCCCGGTTCCGGATCGAGTCCCCGGGCCGGATCAGTATCAAGGCCAGGAACTGGATCAAGGCTGGGATCCGGATCCGGAGCAGAGCCAGGGTGGAGAGCAGCAGGACTGTCAGGATCGAGGTTGGGACCAGGAGCGGAATCGAAAGGAGAACCAGGATGGAAAACGGAACCAGGGTTGAAAACAGGACCAGGAACCAGATTAAGACCAGGACCGGAATCTGGATTCGGATCAGGAGCAGAACTAGGGCTGGGGCATGAAAAGGAACAAGATGGGTCCGGAACCAGGACAAGACCAGGACCAGGATCCAGACTGGGATCTGGATCCAGATTGGGACCAGAACCGGGATTGAAACCAGGACTAGGATGAGTCCAGGAACTGCATCAAGACCAGGACTGGAGTCTGGATCTGGATCCAGACCAGGGCAGGAAAAGGATCAAAACGGCTCCAGAACCAGGATCAAGACCAGAACCAGACCCAGACTGACTCAAGGATCAAGATAGGGACCAGAACCAGGATTGAAAGAAGGATCAGGATTGAGACCAGGATTGGGATTGAGACCAGGTTCAAGACCAGATCTGGGACCAGGTCCAGGACCAGAACCAGGATCACGACTGAACTGGGACCAGGCCCCTCATCCCGATCCTCCGGCTTCCTCCTCCCGTCAAGGGGGCCATTCCCAAGGGATTCACCCCCGGCTCAGCCCTTATATTAGCCAGCAGCGAAGCCACCGCCGGGGGCCTGTCCCGAGTCCCCTTTTTCCCCGGAAAAGATGGACAAGGAGCCGGAGCCGAGGATCTTTAATAGCAGAAAAGGTGCCGGTTGGATGCGCACACCGGGTCCCCGCGCCGTCTCCGTCCCCTCGGCGCTCAATCCGCTGTGCGAAACGAGGGGTGTCATTGGGGTGAAACAATGGGGGACATGGGGTGACAACGGAGGGGCCCCAGCGTCCGGGCGTACCGTGGGCGGCGTCGCGGGGGGGGGGGACG